AAAAAAAAAAAAGAAAAAGAAAAAAGAATTCAACAGCAAATAATGCTTATAAAATATCTACTATCAGACACATTACAGGTCCTTGGGTTCCCCTCTAGGAGGGCAAGTGAGAGGTGGCAGAAGGAGCAGATGAGGCAGTGGGCCAGCTGCAGAGGGAGCAGTATGAAGGGCAGCAACAACTGGCAGGACACAGGTTAGTTCTCCCTGAACTCAGACCTGCAGGAAGAGCATGCCCAGAGCACCAGCACAACATGGGGTCAGCACACGGGACTGGTGAATAACAGGAGGACTGGCAAAGGAACCCAGAGCCTCTCATCGGAAGAAAAAAAAGAATGGAGCCATCCCAGGACTTAAGCACAGCAGGCAAGTGGCCTGCCTTACTTGAATTTAGCCATAGTAACAGGGCAAGAGCAGAAGCCAGGCATCTGGCAAGTCATTAACTCAGAGGTGGCAAATGCAGTCTGGTTGATTTTCTAATAGAACAGCCTGGAATATGAGAGAAGAGATGGCTTGAGAATGATTCTAGGCCTCTGGCCCAAGCAAAAAGAGGATGAAGGAGCAGTCATAGGGTCACTTATAGACATCCTACAGTGTCCAGCACTAGTCAGATCAGACCAGTCTACGGGTGCAAGCCTGGGGTCCTCAGCTTGTCAATCCTAACTTAAGCCGGAGGAAGAAAGGTGCTCAGCACAACAGAATGAACCTCCTCTGGCTACTAAGTTCAAAGGCAGAAAGAAGCAGAAGAGACTGAAACGGGGCAGCCAGGCAACAAAACCTATAACCCCAGGTCTCCTGGGACGCATGGTGACCACCACAGAGGCAGATCACCAATTCACTAGTGATTAGAAGTGTCTAGCACATAAAAAGTTCTCAATAAATTTAATGAGTAAATTATTGAAATGCCCCCAAATTAATACTTTTAAAAATATCTATATTACAAAAAGTTAAATATACCACCTCTTTAATTTTTTGGTTACTTAATAAATAGAAGAGGATCAATAAATGTGTTTTCTATTATGTATGTATCTGTCTTTAAAGTATATTTCTGCACAGAAGTACAAAGAAAGGTATATAAATACAGGGAACTATGAATAAGCCAAACAGAGTAAGAAAAACAATAGCACCAAAACCAGAAATAAATACCCATAGTCACACCCAACAACCAAGTATGAAAGGGTCCAATATTTAAAACAAAGTAAGTCATATAAACTAACAAAGTAGAAAGTTCAAGAATGAGTTCCAAAATTACACAACAGTCTCAGGTCCTAAAGAGGAAAACAGCCTCACCACAAACCCCTGTCTCTGATGCGGCCTCTGGGTGAGTTCAGCCCAGAGCTTCCTGCAGCACTGTCATGCCCAGTCCTGCACTGTCCACTGGGGTAGCCACAAGCCACACATGGCTATTAAGTCCAAGAAATGTGGCTAATGTGAGTAAGAAACTGAAATTCTAATTCATTTATATTTAATTGATTTAAATTTAAATAGCCACGTAGGACTAACAGTTACCAGCCTGGACAGCCTGAGACAATCAGAGGACAGACACATTCTGTGAGAGAAACGTACCAGGTGGCAAGAAAGTAAAACCCACGTCTTACTCACCAACAAAGTAAAAGAAAACTACAAAAAGAAAGCTCATCTGCTCTGGTTTAAATTGCCTTGGAAGAATGAGGTCCTGAGCTATGAGAAAGAGAGGAAGAAGAAGAAGAAAACAATCTGATAAGCTTGTTTCCCTTTAGGGCTGGTATAAGTTTCATAACATGGCCGGGCAAAGTGGCCCACATCTGTAATTCTAGCACTTTGGGAGGCCAAGGTAGGTTAAATGCTTAAGCTCAAGAGTTCAAGACCAACCTGAGAGTGAGAACCTATTTCTACTAAAAATAGAAAAATTAGCCAGATGTTGTGGAGGAACCCCTATAGTCCCAGCTACTCGGGAGGCTGACGCAAGAGAATTGCCTGAGCCTAAGTGTTTCCTAACAAAGCAAGGTATCAAAATAAGTATCTCTCTAACCCTAGGAGATCTAGAAATAAGAAAAAATGAAATGACAAACTCATCATAGGTCTGCAGTCCCTAACCCCTAGACTAAGGGCCAGTGTGGGTCTGTGGTCTGTTAAGAACCAGGCTGCACAATATCACTGCCTGAGCTCCTTCCTCCTGTCCCCTCAACACCTGAGCCTCTTCCCAAGGTCTGTGGCTAAACTGTCTTCCACGACAGTTGGTCCCTGGTGCCAAAAAGGTTCGGGACTATTGATGCAGCTATTTTTAAATTGGCTATAGTAATTTAGTGAAGAGTTTTCAAATAACTGAATTTGATTATGGTTGGTTTTTTTTTTTTTTTTTTTTTGAGACAGAGTCTCACTATGTCATCCTCGGTAGAGTCACAGCTCACAGCAACCTCAAACTCTTGGGTTTAAGCAATTCTCTTGCCTCCCAAGTAGCTGGGACTACAGGTGCCCACCACAATGCCTGGCTATTTTGTTGTTGTTGTTGCAGTTGTCATTGCTGTTTAGCAGGCCCAGCCCAGGCTCGAACCCCCCAGCCTGGATGTATTTGACCAGAATCCTAACCTCTGAGCTTCCGGTGCCACCCTAAATTTGATTATGTTTTAACTACTGTCCAACCAATTTGTTCACCAAAAAAAGCCATACTAAATTTGTAACTATAATTCAGATTGTTTAAAGGAAATTCAATTAAGTTTAATATCAATTTTTAATATTTTACCTAACAGGCAAAGAGCAAATAAATCTCTAAGAATTGCTAGTGAAATTAAAAATTGGCATGATATTTATGGAAGGGTAATCTGGCAATATTTATCAACATACATACTCTTTAACCTAGAAATTTCACTTCTAGTTATTGGTCCTACAGATATACTCCACTTACATACTCCAGTATGTAAGTAACATGAGGACAGGAATTAATCTGTATTCCCAGTACGTACCTGCTACATAATAGGTACTCAGCAACCATATATTGAATGAATTAGGAGAATGATTATGAGAAATGATATATACGCAAGGTTAATCAGCACAGAACTTCTTTTAAAGTGAAAAACAACAGAAATGACATAAATGCTTACCATAAATTATAGCACATTAATAGGCAATATTAATTCAAGTTCTATGCAATAATAAACAATACAGACATTCTCTCTCTTAAGACACATAATGACTTCAGTATACTACCATTAATGGTAAAGAAAACATGAATATATAAATGTGCTTGTGAAAAATTTC